CATCTCCCTCCTCGCACGCCCTTCTTTCTCTCCGCGCGTCCTTTCTTCCCCACCTCACCTCCTCCCTAGGCGCCCTGGCCAGCAGCAGCCGCGCCGCCCACCTCCCACCCCCGCCACTCCGCCCCGCCATCTACTAACCACAGGGTGGTGCACTGGCGGCCTCCTCGTCTTCTTCCTCATCGCCGCCCCCACCCCTCGACCCCGCCCACCCTAATCCTAGGGTAGGGTGCTGGCGAGCTTTGTCGCGACGCCCCGCCATCGGCCCCACCCAACCGTCTTCTCCCCCACCTCGGAACCTAGGCGCCTTTTTCTTCCTCTCTGACGTAGGCGTGGGTGCGGGCGCGTGGGTGCTCGACGCGTCGTGCGACCATCGTGTAATAACTTTTTTCTACATGGAATACCCTGCTGCATGATCCTAGCTCTGCCACTGCCCGTAAGTACGTGCAGTTTTAACTTATTGGCCTGGCCCTGGCGCTCCGTCGACGTGGGGGTCCCGGGGGAATCGCCTCCCTATCCCAAGCGTACGTCACCACATTCAATTTCGTGCAGGCATAGGTAGTTGGCCGGAGAGAGCTCTACGTACTAGGCTTTGGTCATTGCGTGGCTCGCAGCCGAGGATGTCGTGAGCAACAACGAGTCACAAAGTAGGCGATGCCATGCCATGCCACTGAGTAAGAGAGACCGACGGACATGGCAAACTCTACCTATTATTTAGCTACGTACGATGATCGACAAGTGTTGAACCGCCTTGGTTTGTTTATTTCTTTCTACACATCTCCAATGACCATATATATATATATGTATATATATAATGTGCCCGTTAATTCATCACTTAAGTTACACTTTCTAGAAAGGCGTACGTGTATTCGATAGGTATATGTAGTATATCGTCCTTGACGGTCACTTTGTAAAGAGCGCCTAATATTTACTCGATCTGGTAGGAGAAATTAACACAAGTAAGGAAAACAGGTACCCACGTAGCTCCAAACTTCCGAATAGTATAATATTATCCATTGTGAAAATTAAAGGCGAGCGGATCAAGAAACAATAGTAGAGGTTTGTCCTCCTTATTTTCTATATTTAACTTATTCTAAGTTTTAGCGAGTACAAACTTAGAGGAGAGGAGGAATTTCATTTCATTTTTCCAACCAAAGAAGAGGGGGCTTGAGTTCTGACCGACACGGTGCTAAATCCGCCACTGCCTAGCAACCCCCCCTTCCCTCTCCCTCTCTGTCGCTCTCTCGAGCTAACCATCTCTAGGTGAGTCCCGTAGGCAAATAAACTATGAGCAATCAGTAAACTCGCCAACTCAGTATCGAGCAGCTGGACCAGATGTTTTTCTCTCTATTAGCCATGATTTACATTATAAAAAAAATCCACTAGCTTCGCGTGACAGTGAACTCAGCATCACATAGACGGCTAATCACCCACCTAGATAAGTATTTGATGTGTACGTACCCACAAATCGAAACAGACGTGAAAGAAAATATATGTACGGGCCACTTCTGGCCGTGTACTTTTTCCATTAGCTGCTGGTGGTGGTGCTCTGCAAAGACTTCTATCATTGCTTTTTTTATTCACAATCACAATGAATCGATGATGATGATGATATATAACCATGTAGCCTTGGTACTGTACTATGTTTTTTTCTTTATTGTCGAATATAGCTACGCGCACGTACAACGACAACTGCACACCACCTTAGAGCGACAACCTTGTGATGTGGTCGTCGTCATCCCCAAACGTCGTTAACTAAACGTTGCAAAAGCCATTGTACTGTGGCTTCATGAATTAGTGCACCTTTTCAAAGCTATCATCATGATATATTGTATCCGGTACAAAAGAAAAAAATGATAAAAAGTATATCCGTTCAAAATTATAAGACGTTTTAACTTTTCTAGATACATTGCTTTCAATATGCATCTAGACATAGTGTATATCTAAATGTCTAACAAAAGTAATGAATCTAGAAAAGCTAAAACATCTTATAATTTGAAATGGATTGGGTACCTAGAAAACTTTTATGAATAACTAAAACCAAACACTTTCGTGTGGTTCATATGTTTATATTTACACTTTTTTATGTAAGCAGTTAGGCTGTTTTAGTTTTATTTTTTTAATTTTATATAAGCAAGTCGACTATATTATTAAGTACTCGTATGTTGTCCACCTAATTGAATAATATCGATGATAATTAATATAAGTAAAGATATAATAGTGTTAAACAAAACATGGCTCCTCCCTCCCTTCCAGAAGAATTTTTTTTAAATAATATTTTTTAATGATTAATCGTGAATGTAGAAGCTATGAATCCAGTCGGCGTCTGAGGGGGAGCTGTCGGTAAATCAGAAGCCGACAGGACCATTTTTTAAAAAATAAATATTTTCACTGAATACTTGCAAATGTAGAAGCTGTTATAAAAAAAATAGCAAGTATAGTATCCTGTCGGACTCTGGAAGGCCGACAGGATACGTGGCAACAACACGGCGCCGGGGCGCGCCGATTGCAGATCAGTCGGCTTCGCAATGCCTGTGCGCTGCCGCGGCTGCTGCGTGGCGGCGGCTCGCGCGCGTGCCTGTACGCGGCCGCGGCTCGTGCATGTGCCTGTGCGGCTGCTCGTGCATGCAGCTCGCCTGTGCCCTGTGCATGCTGCACAAACGTGCCTAGGGCTGCTGGTGCATGCTGCTCGCTGTGCGGTGGCTCCTCGTGCATGCTGCTCGCCCGTGCCCCTGTGGTGGCGATGGCAAGAAAATATATATTATCGTGAAAAGTAATCGCAGCATGCAGTTCTAGATATCTCGGATGTCAACAAGGGTTGAAACGACAACGAAAACATAATTGCGCCATCGAGCTATACATGGCCAGAAAAAGAAATAGGCAACACTTCCTCAAAAAAATTAAAAATAGCATATAACCATGCACGATGACCGATCAATGATTTAACTCCCTCCTATAAAACAGGGAATAGCTGCCACCATTCCACACACAACATGTACTCCCTCCTAAAGTATGTACTCTAGCTTAAAGTACTCTAGTTTAAAGTATGTACTCCCTCCTAAAGTATGTACACAACATATACTTTGGGTCTAGAGGTGACATCACTAATGGTTTGGGAGGCGACATCACTAACATGTACTCTAGCTGCCACCATTCCTCAAAAATTTAAAAATAGCATATAACCATGCATGATGCCGATTGGGAGAGGCGACATCACTAACATGTACTCTAGCTGCCACCATTCCTCAAAAGCGGGGAAAAATAGCATATAACCATGCATGATGCCCAACTAAAAAAATAAGTGCTGATTCAACCCAAGACCCCATGTGCATTGCCCCACCTACACAACACATCGAACGGCTTCGGGGACCTTTGTTAGGAAGGACAGGGACTAAAGGTTGAGGACTTTTAGTTGGTCTCCTTGAGAGTAAGACCACCACACAAGACAGCCGCTCGCAAAAAAGACTAGAGCCCCTTTCTCCTCATCTTTATGCGTGACGGCGCGCTTCTGTTAGGAGGAGTCGGCGACCACACACAAGACAGCTCTAGGACCTTCTCATTCGGAGCTCGAGGAGCAAACCTTCCATTCGAGGAGCAAAGCTATTCGAGGTGAGCATCCCCAATTCTTGATTTTTGATGCTGGGTTTTTCTGGTCTCGCTTCTCTTGAGGGTTTTGTGCTAAAGCTATGCTCTACCGTCACGGTGGCGCCGGCGCTGGATGTGCTACTATCACCGGAGACGAAACCTCAAGTCCTCGACCATTTGGGTAGGGGCTAATGTGGCAAGTCGTGAGGGGTCAGTGCTCAGCGAACAGCGTCGCCGCGGCAAGAACGGATTTTATGTTTATTTTTGGACAGTAGAAAGGAAGGTTTTTTGGGGGTTTATGATGCGACACGATTGAACTCATTAATTGGTCTGGAATGTGTTTGGTCGTCTACAGGGGTGGATCCAAAGGGCGGTTGTCCGGGCTACAGCCTCTAGTGAGCTTGATTTCTTCATTAGACCACGGTTACTTAGCCTCAAATCACCATTAATTTCTAGCTCTAGTCCTAAATCTTTATTATTTAGCCCCCCTTTGTTCCCATCCTGCATCCGCCACTGGTCGTCTAGATTTGGAATCAAACATTCAATTCCGAATGCCCCATCTCTATGTTAGCGCAGATTCCCCAGAAATCAAGCTCGCCGCCTCGCGCCCTCTCCCCTTTCGCCCCGACCTTCTCGACGCTTACGCCGCACTTGTGCTCCTACGCTGGACGACGAGGTCCTCCTCAGTGCCGACGAGATCGATGAACCCCTCCCCTCCACCCCCCTTCTTAATGCCTCATCGGCGACTCCGCCATGTCTTACACGGACACGGGACTTAAGCCCGCTGCGCCGTCGCGCGCGGCGCGTTCAGGACGCCCCCCATGAATCACGTCCAATCGTTCTTCTTTGTGATGTAGTCGTTTGCAAATTGCAATTCAAATTATTTCTTGCTTGATTGTGCTATGGCGAATTGAATTTTTATTTCAATTCCAGCTTGTATTTTCCATGGTTTGATTGATGCCATTTTTTTTGGTTTCTTCAGATGGATATCATGACTCTGTATAACCCACGTGTCAATTCTATCTCCCATCTCCCACCTCTCTCATGGCTATGGCTAGCTTGTCCGCGTCTAGAGTGCCGCTGTTTGGCCTGTGCGGCTGTGGCGGCAGTGGCGGCTCACTTGCACGGCTGCATGTCAGCGCTCGACGGTAGCTGCAGCGGCGGCGGTGCTCGCCCGCGCGACCGCGGCAACTGATTGCTCGCGCGTCTCTACGCCGCCGACGGTGACTTCTCTCCTGCACAGCCGCGGCTCTGTGCCTGTGCGCGGCGACGGTATCTCGCCCGTGCACACGTGAGCGTGCCTCTCTCAGGGAGCTCGCATCACACAATCGCATCAGGAGCCGACGGCGTAGAACGGCGGAAGAAAGGGGAAGGAACCGGCGACGGTTGCACCCTCCCCCTCAGCGAGCCTCGCGGGCATGGCAGCACGCCTCCTCGGCCCTGCGACGCTGCACGAGCGTGACCTGTGCGCTGCTGCGCTTAGCCCCAGCGGCAGGCACCCGGCCCCGGTGGCAGCGGCGACGCCGCAAGCCCGGCGCCCGGCAGCCCGCGACGTCCAAGGTTCGAGAGCCGGCTCGCCCGCGTGCCTATGTGTTGCCGCGGCTGCTGCTCGCCTGCGCAGCGGCGGCTCGCGCGCGTGCCTGTATGCGGCCGCGGCTCGTGCATGTGCCTGTGCGGCTGCTCGTGCATGCAGCTCGCCCGTACCCCTGTGCATGCTGCACGCACGTGCCTGCGCGGCTGCTAGTGCATGCTGCTCGCTGTGCGGCGGCTCCTCGTGCATGCTGCTCGCCCGTGCCCCTGTGGCGGCGATGGCAGCGGCGATTCCGAATTTTTTTTATTATTTAGCCTTTTTTTAAGTTTTTACAAATATGCTTTGGAGTTATGTTTTTAAAATCTGGACCCTTAGCTCGACGTCATCATTGATAACGTTGAGGTTACACATCTCGACGTCAGAGGATTTAGCGCCTAGATCAGGGACACATTGATGTTGACGACGTGGACATTGACACGACAGCCAGCTCGACACCGTGGATCTTAACAATAAGCTTAACGCCGTAGATACTGACGTCAAAATCCTGGTGTCGAGCCGGTCTTATACGTGGATCCGTTTCCTTTCCTTCTTCCTTCTTTTCCTTTCCTCTCTTCCTTTCTCTCCCACTCTCTCTCTCTCCCGACACCTCCCGCCGCCGGCGCTGCTCGTCCTCGCCGTCCCACGCCCCGACCACCGTCGCCGCTCCCGGCCGACCGTGCGCCCCGCCTCGCCGACCGGTTCGCCGCCTCGTCCCGCGCAGGCCGGCCCGGCGGCGCCCCGCTCCCCCATCCCCAGGCGCTGCGCGCCGGCCGGCCGCCCCGCCCGCCTCGCTGCGGCTGCTACGCCCCGCCCCGTCCGCCGTCCCCGCCGCGGCCGCACGTTGCTCGATGAGCGAAGTGAGCGATTCGATCGCCTGCGCCCTGCAGAGTACCCCAAGGACCACCGGTCCGACTCTTCCCGGTCGCGCTCCGACGCCAGCCACGGCAGGGCGGCGCGCAGCCGCAGCTGCGGTGGGAGTGGCATCGACAGCGGCATCGAGAACGGAGCCGGCGCCGGCGGCAACTTCGAGTTCTGCAAGGAGGAGAGGGCGGCCGTGCCGGCTACGACGGTGGCGGTGTCCGCGCCGTTCTTCCGACAGCAGGTGCCATCCAAGTGGAACGACGCGGAGAAGTGGATCGCGGGGCGCCACGTCGTGCACTCCAACCCCATCTTCTCCAAGAAGCCCGCCGCCGCAGCGGCGCCGCCATGCCCCGGCGACCGCGTCGCGCCGGAGTCCGCGACGGCGTCCAGGGCCAGCGGCGCGGCCGCGAGCGCGCTAACCGAGCTGTCGTCCAAGTCCTCGTCGCCGTCGTCGTGTGTCCGTGTCGGTGTCGATGCGGGACGTCGGGACGGAGATGACGCCGATCGCGAGCCAGGAGCAGTGGCGCAGCGGCACCCCTGCCGGCGCCGTCACGCCGTCGCTCAGCCCGCTTTGCTCGGTGCCGTCCAGCCCCAGGGGCGGCGGCGGCTGCGCGTAGGCGTCGTCGTCGGCCTCCGCGTCGGAACTGGAGCTCCGGCTCAGGACGCGGCGCGAGATCGCCGCGCTCGGCCTGTAGCTCGGCAAGATGAACATCGCGTCGTGGGCCAGCAAGGAGGAGAGCCTCCTCGCCGCCGCGTCCCCGGAGAAGGGCGCCGGTGACATCGACGAGGAGATCAAGAGGAAGGCGTTCGAAGCTCGCGCCACGGCGTGGGAAGAGTCAAAAAAGTGTAAACTCGCGTCACGGCGAGCAAAAAAAAAAAAAAATTTTAAAAATTAAAATTCCCCTTGACAAGAATTTTCATTGAAAACGCTTTGAATCTCTGTTGCTGATGTTAACTTGGTAAAGAAATCTCCAGGAATTGTTCTGATCATATACTAATTGAGTGACTTCTAATTCCTTATCATGTGCATGATCAGTTACCAGAGGAAGGAGGTGAAGATACAGGAGTGGGAAAGCTTACAGAAATCCAAATTCGAAGCCAAGCTGAGGCAGGCCGAGGTCAGTTCCATTCATTCAATTTTTCTATTTCTGAACTTTTTCGAGTTTCCTTGTTTCAATCAATCTCTGAACAACATTCTCTGTTACCTGCATTGGTTCGAATTCATGGATGGAGTACTCCTATTCAGCAATTCTCACTCTGATGAGTATATTGGACTGAATGGTTCAGGCACAGGCAGAGCAGATGAAAGCCCGGGCGAAGCAGGACCTGGCCAGGAGGCTGTCGGCACTGAGCCACAGGGTGGAGGGGAAGCAGGCGAGGGTGGAGGCGCGCCGGAGCCGGCAGGCGTCCCGGCTGGCGCGGCAGGTGGAGCGCATCCGCAAGACCGGCCGTGAGCCGTGCCGGCTCCGGCGGTGCTGCGCCTTTGTTCCTCTAGTACATGAAAATTCATCCCTGGTTCATGTTTATCCCAGTCCCAGGGCACTGCTAACTGCTCGTCGCTGTGGTTTGGATGCCGTCTGCCTTTGTGTAATCCTGAGCTGGTTGTCTAGTTTGGCCTGCAGCCAGCTGATGTTCAGATAATCTACTCTTTAAACCGCCCTACATGTTCAGAAACTAAATGGAACAAGTGTTGTTGCCAAGGATCAGGACAGCCGGTAGTCTGTTGGAGCAGGCTCCATTCTCCACTGCTTGCCTATGTAAATATTAGTGATTCCAGGGCCCATTGATGGTAGAAAATGCAGAATCATACATCTAAACAAACAATTTGAAAAATCAGCTGGCAATGCTTCCTAGCTGAATTCTTGTGGCTTTGACCGGTTGCATGCAAGCATGTCTACTCTCCCTACTTCCATGCATGCTTTGACCTGGTTCCTGCGATCAGCTCCGGAGTTTTTCAGCTTCAGCCTAGCTCTTTGACTGACTGCAGCGTGGGCGCAGGGCAGTGATTAAATCCTTTCACCATCCCCAGTGCGCCATTGCGGTGACACTGTCAATTCTGAACTCAAACGGAGTTCTAGCAAGCAATCTGGGCTGTAGCCAAATGCTGCAGATGTGTAAAGTTCTGTTTTTAACTGGTGTACATTTCTAATAGAACCAGGAGAAGCCACTGTCAATTCTGGAGCAATCTCACTATTTACAAACACATGTTACTATTTTTTTTTAATCCAAGCCATAGTAAAACCATCTAATAAATTACTCTGATTACTAGAAATTTCAGAGATTGACCCTTCAAGTGTTAAGATGATTCCAGAATTCTTAATGGCACAGGGGGCTAAGAGGGAGCTTAGGAACCCCTAAAAAGGGTTCCTCTTCTATGCTATACCCTGATTCAATAGAAATCATGGTTTGGTAGACATAAAACTCGCGGATTAACAGGTCAAAGCCTACAGGGTACAGACTACTGAATTACAAACAGGACAAAAAATTTGACTTGTATGGCATGCAGCAAGATCAAACAACCGCAAATTGAGTTGAAAAAAATTAACATAGGCAGCAGTGACAGGTTTCAATAGTTTAGGCGCCACATGGAACCATCTGTTTTAGATATGCGAAGATAATAGAGAGAACTACAGGGCTAGGTCACCTCTACAGTGAGTGCCTGCATTCATACTTTCATAGAGCAATTCTTGCCTACCATTTAGAGCTTAGGCTATCGTACAACATGTCCATTACCATAATGATACAATGGATCATCTAGCTATATTAACGACTAGGTTATTTCTGACCAACAGGACTTGAGAGAAGATCATAGAAACTGAAACGACTTGTAGATGGCAATCCTCCGGTGCTGAATTGCTGGTTTTGGTTCAGAACTTCAGATTCCGGTCTTCATCTCAGTCTCAGTAGTCCAGAGGCACCACAGGTGCAATGCTGCTGGTGAGGTTCTGCATGTCGTGGCCTGCAGAATAGTCATCGCAGACACTGCTCTGCAGCGTCCTCGCTCCAGGTGTAGACAGAAGGTCGCCTCCGCCGCGGACCATCTGCTGCACATCTTGTGGTGAGAGGATCTTTATGCACCATACACTATTCACAAACTCCCTGGAAAAAACATGGGGTCCAACGATGATCACGCTGAGTGAAAATTCAGACCAGATAAATATGTATACGCAAAAGGAAGAAAGGAAGATAGTTCTGCATGCACGTACTGCCACGGGTCGTCGCCGACGAGAAGAATATCATTTTCCCGGTCGACGAATACAAGCTGCCAGCCTGATCTTACAGGGTCCTCCAGTTGGCCTTCAAGACCAAATAACCACTCGAGCTCGCTACGTAACTCATAGTAGCTGCTGAATCTGGTGATGTCGAGCGATCTCCCGAGGGACCCTGATCTGTAAACCTAGTGGTGGAACAAAAAGGGAACAGAAGGCAGTTAGATTGATCTCTAACCTAAATGGATCCAACGGTCTAGTTGGGCTTTTGATTCGCGTCTTGATCGGGGGCGTCCAGCCCACCATGGCTGGAGGGCCCCTGTCACCCTCGCTATAAAAAGAGGTGGGGGCCGGTGGCTCTTATCACGAGATTGACCTGAGCCGTGCTCTCCACCGACATCCAAACCCTAATCCGATCAGAGAGGGGCGTAGCCAGTGACGGAAAGCCACCAGCCGCGCCGCCCGCTCCATCGGCGACGACGTCTTCATCGTCCTCTTCACCGACCGTCGCTGCCCTAGCGCAGACTACACCGATGAACCTGATGGCGTCTTCCGAACCCTCCCCCTCTACGGTGTCAGGTTCAACACTTTCCCCCTTCCCTCTCTGACTCTCTAGTTTCACAAGCATTAGGATGTACAGTGTCTATCATATCCCGAATAGAACCCAGCTAGATCTATAATCCTAGTGTTCAAACAGTTTTAACAATGGTATCAGAGCCCATGTTTTCTAGGGTTTTAGATCTAGAACGGGTTACCGACCTAACCCTAACTGGGTAACTGAGAAAAGTACAGAGGGTTCGGTTGAACCCTAACCCTAACTGGGTTAAGGAAAGGAGAAGAAGAAGAGGGTTTCGGCCTTAAGAACGTAAGAGCCGAACCCTAAACCCGTAAAAGTCTTCAACGGGGAAGAAAATCAGTAAAACCCTAACCCTAACTTCGATCCCCATCCCAAATCGGTTCAATCCGAGCACCAAAAGAGAACCAAATTCGAAGGGGAAGAAGGGGAAAGGGAGGCCTACCTCGCCGCTGCGCAGCGCTGCTGTCACGCCGGCGCGTGGGGAGAAGAAGGCCGAGCCCGAGGGGAGCTGCTCGCCGGACTCAGGCCACAGGGGCGCCGTGCCCAGGCCGCTCGACGGCAGCCCGCTCACCCGCTGGGGAGCGCGCACGCCGGCGAGGGGGCCGGCGACGGCGCCGGGGCTCTCTGCTCGCTCTCGCCATCGTTGCTCGTCGCTCGGGCTCACTCGGCTGAGAGAGGGAAGGGAGAAGAGAAGGCCGAATGGCCGCTAGGGTTCGGGGACCGTGGCCGGGGGCGGTTTTGTTCGCCCGAAGACGCCGCGCAGTCGTCCGATCGGCTCCAACGGCGCCAGATGCGCGGGCCAGCGATGCGGCCCAGGTGGGCGCGCACGGTCGAGCAGCTTTGCCGGCCCAGGCCCAGGTTGCGGCCTGGGTGCGGCCGGACGTCGCGCAAAGGAAGCGGGCCGAGCAGTTATGGTTGCTGGGCCGAATGAATAGTGCAGAATTGAATCAGTTTTTGTTTTTTCCTTTTCCAGTAAATATTTATTTCCTGAAAATTGATTAATGGTTTAAAGAAAATAGAAAAGAGAATTTTTCCTGTGGGTAAAATTCACAAAATTGAGATTATTTTTTTTCTGTTGCGTATTTAAAGATGTTATTTTCATTATTAAATTCGAACCAACGGGAGAATTTAATTTTGAAAATGGATATGTTTTAATTGATTATAATATTGTTATTATTCTGACCAACGTTGATTAATGGCAATATTATGATGTTTTGTCATGCATTAATTCTATTTCTGCCCAACGGTGATGTAGAATTAGTGTAGAGGACAATTGTATGTTTTAATTTTGACCAACGTTGGAACTAAGGCATGCAATTGTTATTGTTATTATTTATATTCTCACTCCATTTGAATTGTGTTTTCAAGCGGATACAACTTGATGAGTTGTATCAAAGAGATCCCCACTCTCAAAGGTGATAACTACACTGAGTGGAAGAAAAAGATCGACCTGACCTTCATCTTGGCTGAGGTGGACTGGGTAGTCACCACACCGTGTCCCACAGAACCTGTGGCACCGGTGAGGGAGACAAACGAGGCTGATATCGCTTGGGCAACTAGAGAGGGATTTTGCATCCCTAAAGATGTCCTATGACCTTGAGCATAGGAAATGAGTCACTACCAACAAGAAATGTTTGGCTGTGATAAAGAACACGATTGAGCCTACAATTGTGGGCTCAATCCCAGAGTGTGACACGGTCACCGAGTACCTTGACAGAATAAAGGGTCAGTTCACTGGCTCTTCAAAGACATATGCTACCCAGCTGATAAAGCAGCTGGTGGCAGAGAGGTACTCAGGTAATGGTGGTATTAGAGAGCACATACTAAGGATGAGCAATTTAGCATCCAAGCTAAAACCAATGGATCTAGCTCTCAAGGATGAGTTCCTTATCCATCTGATTTTTGCTTTCTTGCCAAAAGAGTTTGACACTTTTGTTGTCAACTACAACATACAGCCCGAGAAATGGGACATGGAGAGGCTCATGGCTATGTGTGTGCAAGAAGAGGAAAGAATGAAAGCTGACAATGGTGGCTCTATCAATTATTTTAAAGACAATAAGAAACAGAATAATAATGTTAACTTCTCAAAATTAAAGGGAAAGGGTCTCATGCTACATAAGCCTCAGCAGAACCAGTTCATAGTAGAGAAAGACCAATGTCTCTATTGCAAGAAGACGGAACATTATAAGAAAAATTGTCCCGATTACTTAAAGATGATCATGGCAAAGAAAGGTGAGAACATTATTACGTTCATAAATGAATCTCTGTATGTACAGTATTCGAAATCTACTTGGTGGATTGACTCAGGTGCAACTGTTCATGTTGCTAATTCTTTACAGGGATTCCGTTTGACGAGGACTACGGAAAGAAGCGAAAGACATGTTAAAGTTGCGAATGGAGTCCGAGCAGAAGTTGAAGCCGTTGGCGATCTTTCTCTAGAGCTTGCTGATGATTTCAAACTTATACTTAGAGATGTTCTTTATGTTCCCTCGTTATAGAGAAACTTAATTAGTGTTTTATGCTTGACAATGATGGATATGATTGCCATTTTGGAAATGGTAAATGTAAAATAACATTTAATAATGCATGTGTTGGTCTTGCTATCTTACAAAATGAGCTTTATTTGTTATCACTACGTAATGATGTGAATGTTATATGCGATAATGGGAACATTGCGTGTGACAATGTGAATGTATCCCCGTCTACGGATGTAAACAGAAAACGAAAGAGAGCTCACGATGCATTGTCGAAATTATGGCACTGTCGTTTAGGCCATATTTCGAGGGGGAGAATAGAAAGACTAGTTAAGAATGATATTCTTTCTCCATTAGAGCTCTTAGATTTAGAACAATGCAGAGAATGCATTAAAGGAAAGTATGTAAAGAAAATTAAGAAAGATGCCAAACGAAGCGCGGGAATTTTACAGATTATTCACACAGACATATGTGGTCCTTTTCCTGTAAAGAGTGTGGATGGTTATGATTCATTCATAACATTCACAGATGATTACTCTCGTTATGGCTATATTTATCCAATCAAAGAAAGAACAGAAGCATTGAATAAATTTAAGATATTTAAGACAGAAGTTGAAAACCAACACAACTTAAAGATTAAGATAGTCAGGTCCGACCGTGGGGGGAGTACTACGGTCAACATACCCCATATGACCAAGTTCCTAGACCTTTTGTAAGGTTCTTACAGAAGAATGGCATAGTAGCACAGTATTCTACACCGGGCGAACCTCAGCAGAATGGAGTAGCTAAAAAGGCGCAATCGTACCCTGATGGATATGGTGCGCAGTATGATAAGTTACTCCACCTTACCGATGAGCCTGTAGATGGAGACATTAAAAACCGCCATTCATATTCTTAATAGAGTACCAAGTAAGTCGGTGCCCAAAACACCGTATGAGTTGTGGACAGGAAGAGTGCCCTCACTAAACCACTTACGTGTGTGGGGGAGTCTTGCTGAGGCTAAAGTATTTAACCCAAACATTGGGAAGCTAGATCCCAAAACAGTAAGTTGCCATTTCATTGGCTACCCAGAAAAGTCAAAAGGTTTTCGTTTCTACT